ACGAGTAACTGACTCAACATTACTCACGTTTATCAGTGTTCATTTCTCATGTTAATAGAAATTATTAAAAGTAAATTATAGTCAATCAATTTGTTTCTTATATGCAAGTGTAACATTTTTATCATGAAACTTGAGTAAACATTTCACTGTTAAAGACTTTAATCATTAGCACAAAGCAGTAAACAGAGTGGTACCAGAGTCGTCGGTTTTCAGACTTACCATTAGTGAATAAAATTACTGAATTACAACAGATCACCTTGAATAAAGACAGAACAAGAATAAGTAAATTTATGCTGTCATGTGTGCTGCTTTTACTAAATGTCAAAATAATACACAACTTTTTACGAGGGAATGGGAAAGAAAAGAAAGTTACCCATGATCCCTCACAGGCTCTGCACCAATCAGATGAGGCGGTTAGAAAAAAAAAGAAACAAATTGAACAAACTAACGCAGCTGAACTACCAAACAAAACTCATGACCAGGAATCATCGTAATGCAACAGAAACAATGCAGTCAACAGTCAGAAGAAACATGCATTTAGCTCTGCTAGTTTTCTTCTTCTTCTTCTTGTTGGCAAACAACTTAAAGGTGCATTACTGCCACCTACTGGCTCGACGGTGACGCTGACAAGCCCCTCCCAAAACCAGTAAAAACATGTAAATGTATGAAGTCTCAGCTCAGAGCCTTTTGTAAGGCAAAAACTTGGTTTGAGTAGTTTACAAATCACATTTTGTTAAGTAATGGTCCTGCCTTTTGCAAAAACATAAGATTAGTAATAATAGCTTGACTTATTATGTAAAAGAAAATTTGGGTTTACAGTGCAGCCAGCAATGTTTGATTTTTTATTTTAAAAAAACATGAAAAACTATTGTGAAATTTCTGTTTTTTTAGGCGAACTTGTTGCTTTGAAGAAAGTGCGACTGGACAATGAAAAGGAGGGTTTCCCCATCACAGCCATCAGGGAGATCAAGATCCTGCGGCAGCTCAAACACCGCAGCGTCGTCAACATGAAGGAAATCGTCACCGACAAACAGGATGCACTCGACTTCAAAAAGGATAAAGGTAAAAACGTGATAAAATAATTATTTATTCACTGCTTTTTTTTTTTAACTAAACCTTTCCTTTGCCTTTAGGTGCTTTTTACTTGGTGTTTGAATACATGGATCATGACCTGATGGGCCTTCTGGAGTCCGGCCTGGTCCAGTTCTCCCACGAACACGTCCGCAGCTTCATGCGTCAGCTGATGGAAGGTCTGGACTACTGCCATAAGAACAACTTCCTGCACAGAGACATCAAATGCTCCAACATACTCCTCAACAACAGGTATTAGGGATACACAATATATCGGCATTAACATCAGTATCGGACGATATTGGTCATTTTTTTAGAATGTCGATACCGTTCTGATGTGTAAAACTGGGCAGATATTAACGTCCGAAATTGATTTCCCACTTTTTAGCTTTATGTTTCTGTTTTGGGAGAGGAGGTGGTTGGTTGAGTTGCTTCTGTTTGATCCTTAAAAGTAATTGAATTATTCAATCCAAAAATAAGACCTTTATTAGCCTTAAAATGTCTTAAATCAATCTTTCAGAAGTCTTAAAAGTGTTAACACATTAAAATAGGA